AATCTCTTTGAAAAGGCCGACGGAGATCTAAGCTTTAGGACTGGAGATCGTATTGAAGTCATCACGAAAACAGCCAGCTCCGAGGACTGGTGGAAAGGTCGACTGAATGGGGAGGAAGGCGTGTTTCCTGGTGCGTTGATCTTTCGCTGAGCATTTAAAACCACTCACTGTTAGTATAGGTAACTATGTGCAAGAGGCATAAGTAGATCTATTATTCACTTTTTTGTTGTGTCTAGTTAGTTTGAAAGACCGAGCCACCTTTGCCGAGGCCATAAGCCGGTAACAAAGCAGCCCTGAGGTTGAACCTATCATACTTGAGAGTATGACCACCACTGAACCTGTACAATACCCACCCTTTAATACCAATGACGCGACAAACACGTCAAATTATTCCGTGCAACTCGTGTCGTCGCTGCCTCTCGTACCGTCCCAGTCCAAATCGCAAAAAGCGGCTTCCGGAACAGCCACAGCCATACCACAAACATCAACCACCGCCCCTGTGAAGAAAAGAAAACGTGACGCGTCGTCTTTATCTATTTCTGAGAAAAGACCGCGGATTTCTGCGACACCGTCTTTGGACCTGAAAAGGGGCGTTGCCACCCGTGAAAGTCTCCCATCACCTTCAGTACGAGCGAATTCATCTAGCTTGGTTCTCAAAAATCGCGCAGTCAATCGTTTGGAAGTCATTCCCCGGCAATGTATTTCGAGCGCCCCTTGTGACTCGCAAGAGTTCCTGTCGAGTTACGAAGTTGTCAAAAACAATCTCAACAACTTTAAAACATGTGAGCACTCTTCTGTTCATGAGACTTGTGCGTGAAACGTACGTGATGAGCAGACGCTGACCGTATGTGATGTTAGATTTTCTCAACAAGCTCGATCCTTACTACCAAGGCTTCACCCCGGAATATATGCCTTATGTTGATTTGGAATACCCTGTGACTGGAGTCACCGAGAGGTGAGCACGCGCTGTCATTCTCCAACGAGGTGGTGCTGACGGTGATTAGGTATGCGCTCCTAGCTCCGAAGGACGAGGACGGCTGGCATCCAGTCAAGGAGCTCATGGATGCAGTTGAAATCATCGTAAAGTGTAGGTCTTGTACTTCATATTCGAGAGATATGTTGATATATTACTCCAGTCTACCTCCCTGCTGGCCACACTACCATCCTGGGTGAACCAAGGGAACCTGCTGTGCGGCCCATTAACCTTAAACCTATGGCAAAACACAAACTATTGACGCCATTAAATACCCCTGCAAGGGAGGCAAGTCCTGCTCCAACTTCACGACCAGTCAAAGAAGAGTTGCCGTCTCCAACTAGCTTGCTCAAGAGAATGCGAAGAACATATGAGCTGAAAGATGGTATTGGGTTTATCTGTGTCGTGAAGGAGATTAACACCAAGCTTCGCTCATTAAAGAAGATGGAGGAAGGGAATGCCCTGGCTGCAACTCCAGCAATTTGGCAAGGGATGCCCTTCGAAGTTGCTATGCATATCTACGAGGAGACATATCAACGCTCAGCTGGCCCTAGAGTAAAGGAGCTTAAGAAATATCCTTCTTTCTCGTCAAACACATATGGGGAGCTGAACAGCGGGTATGTTATCCCTCTTGGTAATACAACTCTCAATGCTCATCCATACCGCTAGATTAGTCGCCGAGATGTGTCATCGTTCTGGTCTCAAGCCGGGAATGAATTTCTTAGATCTAGGCTGTGGTATTGGTAACGTGGTGATACAGTCAGCACTCCTCGCTGGATGTTCATGTGCAGGAGTCGAGAATTTTCCTACAACAGCAAATATCGGAGCGGAGGTCCATCACATCTTTAAACAACGATGTCAAATGTGGGGTGTCGAACCTGGATTGACAGACGTATTTGAAGGTGACTTTATGGACCCTTCAAACAAGCTCCAGTCTATCATTCAGAATGCGGATGTTATACTCGCCAATAACTTTGTATTTGAACCAACACGTAAGTTTTGTATCCGATGTTCTTTCAGCTCATCTAAACTATCACTCTAGTAAACGAGGGCCTCAAGAGACTCTTCTTGGACCTCAAAGACGGCGCCAAGATCATCTCGCTTCGTAGTTTTTGTGATGGTCAAGTATCTGCCAGGAATATTGGGGCTATTGAATCTTTTCTTGATGTCGAGAGCTTCGATTGGTATCCAGGTGATGTCTCGTGGGGTGACGCCGCTGGTGAGTGATGGTATCCTATATCGATCGAAACGTTCTCATGTAGCTTAGGACAATACTTTATTTCAACTATCAACCGAACCAAGGTGGAATCTCAGCATCAAGCACTGTTTGCAGAAGCCAGGTCTTCACGTCGTCGCAAATGATTTGTTTATTGGGACATCTCTCGCAGTCTCCTTCCTTTCTGTCTATTTCTAACTGTTATAATCGAGGGATCTTATCTTAGTCTTGCAGAAGTCTGTATGTAGATAATTGTCGAGGAATAAATGCCACCCAAACTGTATATTAGAAACAAAATTGCAGCATATAATTTACAACACGATCGTATTACGTGAAAGGACGCTATGATTCTGATCTACTCGCTAGAATGGTAATCTTCATCGTCACTGTCAACTATATTCCTTTTAACCGCTCGGCGGGGTGGGGTTGCGTAGCTTTGACCAGCACCATTGCCATTGTTACTGACTAGTGGTTGTGCACTGGTCCCAGAAACGGGTGTGGCATAGCCGGTGCTCACTCCAGCGCTGGCTGAGGCGCTGTTACCCATTTGGGGGATATCCAGTCCAGCTGTAGCCTTTTCAACCGCATCATCAAAGACCTGTTGCATCTGATTAGCGTCCTCGTATACGATGGAACCTTCTTGGTTGTAGGTCCGGGCATTGTTGAACATGAGATGCCAATCGTCCTTGAACTGAGCAACACTGCGATAATATCCACCAGTAACTCGCTTGCGGATTTGGGAGATGGAGATTGGGTTCTGAATATGGAGGTAGTAGTCTGGATAATCGTCGCGATCCGGCAATTCCTTGAATAATTCACATCGGTACCTGCCGTTTTCTTCACGTAGGTCGAGTACTGCACGGACACAGGTTTGGAATGCCTCTTTCATGCGCTCTTTAATGTGGACAGGTAACGGAGGATCCTTGGC